AAAAATATATATATATATATATATATATATATATATATATATATATATATATATAAGAGATCGATTACTAAAATTACTAAAAAAAAGATGTCTGAAAAATTATAATATTGTATAAACGTTTAGACATTTTTTGACCGAGAAATAATCATAATATAATACTCTTATATATATATAAGAGATCCACTTAAGAGATTACTAAAAAAAAGATGTCTGAAAAATTATAATATTGTATAAACGTTTAGACATTTTTTGACCGAGAAATAATCATAATTTTTTACTTATAATACTCTAGGTCGATGCAATGAAATTTTGGTTAATGTGGAAAGCTCGCGGCACGATAGGTCTTGGACTACTGGTGGATAATGCAATGCACTGCGCGGAATATTTCTTTAAACGAATTCAAGAAACTCCTGGCTTCCGGTTGGTGCAATCTAATTATCAGTTGTGCACCGTTTGTTTCTGGTAAGCAATCTTACGTGATTATCGCGAAATTCGCGATCGGTATTACGGCGAGTTTCATTTCAGGTATATACCTTCCAAGATGCTTGGTCAGCCAGAAACTTCAAATTGGTGGAAGCAGCTGTACAATACGACAACTGAGATCAAGAAACGTCTGACTTTGCGCGGATCTGTCATGATCGGTTATACACCTTTACTGCATAGGGAGTGCGGCAATTTCTTTCGTATGGTCGTGACCTGTCAACCACCGCCCACCGAATCGTCCATGGATTTCGTTATTAAAGAGATCCAAGAAGTTGCGTTAAAGTTAGATGAAGAATCATTGTCTTAATCTCTTCCGCTCACGAGCTTCATATAACGAGATATTAAAGACTCATCTTTCTTATCGAGAATATAGGAATATTATTTATTCAGTATTAATTTCTAAAACTGTTAAAAAGGAGAATATTTATTTATTGCAAATGAATGCGCGAATAAATGCATCGCATACAGTACTTATTAATCGCATATACACGTGACCTTGATAACGGGTACTTTATCTTATACAGCATCACACGTTATGTCAAAGATTCCTATATCTTTTGCATATTATCTTACATTCTTTCCATAGCATTACATGATTGTCTCGTACGTAGGAGATAATTAACGCGCGATCGAAAACTTTTAATTTAGCATCTTGGAAGACATTCTTCTAAGTTCCAAATGAGAAATTTTGCTCATCGCGGCAAGCAAAGAGGTAAATTATTCTAATGGTCGCATGCATACACGCGACTCAATGTGAGCCAATATAAACGCAATCGTCGCGCAACGTATGTGTTTATTGTTACACATATATTTTACACGCATATGATGTACGCACATTTGTTCCATCGTCATAAAACTAAGAAGATGCATTTTTATATACAACTCCGTATCATGGCACTACATTATTCGATATAAAATATTCGATAATTCTCCTAAATAAGAACATAAAAGACAAACTTTCTTTCTTCAAGACGAATATATATAACACATTTTGTATTTGTACAACTTCCAATCAATCGATCCTTAATAGATTAATCGTCTATGTAATCGCAGCGTAATAGACGCGTTTCCCTGTTTTCTTCTCTCTTGCAGAAATAACCTTATATATAAAGTATATTACCTATAAATATTCACATTGGGATGAGGGATCATGAAACTTTATACAAATGAATCAAAGAGTTGAATGCCCAGGCATGAGCAAAATTACTTCTCAATTTCGTCCGTTTGCATTCTTTATCTCTCTTCTTTTGGGGGTGGAAGGAATACATATATATACAGAAACAAAAATAAACTCTTATAAAATCTCTCGAAACAATGATCTTCTCTGGGTTACCCTCCGGAAGTTATTGCGTCGCTCCGGAAACGAGGCGTCGCGAAAAATGCCACTCGACTATGAGGCATACTTATCTGTACCTTAAAACGTGGCAATTGCGAAAAAAAAACATCACCATGTCCTTACCGAAATACGTATCGAATTTTCTCATCTTCGTTCAATATAAAACAATCTCAGACTTGCACCGTCAATCGCAGCATTGTCATTAACTATCAAATGCGGCGGAGAACATGTATATCACTAATATTAGCACTAAAAACATAGAGTCTTGCAGAGAGGCGCTTCTTTGATCGCCTTAGTTTAATTAAGTAAATACACTCTTCCTGGAACGCGGAAGTCCTCGAATCACACATGTGTCCCTTTTAATATCAATCGAACGCTAATCGATCGATAAGGTTTATCAGCTGCCAAATGCATGGAATGAATTAACATTCGGGGTCAGCAATGTTACATATGACTCACCTCCACAAGGATCACACGTGATCGGAAAGACACAGAGCACAAATGAAACGATGCACTATTCGCATGACTCCGTGCGCATGACTCGTTCAGTAGTACTTGTCCTGATCGAGATCGGCACGAATATGTTGCTGGCCGTGACTGTTACGTTTTAGAGTGGCGGATTCGTAATCAAGACTCTTCGGATATAGCTTGGGACTACCAAGACCGTTAACGTTGGGATTATTTTTACCGCGTAGAGTCCCGTTTCCGTTGGTGCTGCCCGAAAAGCTGGGCTGTCGCTTTGCGTTTACCTGTAAAAATTAGATCCTTTCAAATATCTGTGTCAAGAACGTGCTCAAGTATCCGGCCGAGTACGTTCCTTCGACTCTCTTACCTCTTTCAACGGCACGGTGACGTAAGGATTTTGTTTACTGATATAATGCGGATTCCCTGGCATGCGCGGTTTGCGTCGTTTCAAGTAGAAGAAGCACAGAATCGCTGTTAATGCCAAGCCGGCGACAAAACCGATTACGCAGCTGCCCACTACTGCTCCCACTGTCACGCCCGAACTCTCCACACTTGAAGGCAAGGCGTTTACATCTGGAAAAGCATGCGCAACACGCGCGCGTTCATTAATACTTCAATCAAACACTTTAAACTTTATCCCAACTGCGTATTCCAACAAACTCACCGTTGTCCATGCAATCCGGAAGGCAATCGCGTGTCTCGCGGGTCGGCCCTTCGCACATGCCGGATCCCTGCAGAAGGCATGTTCGTTTCCGGTGTTGCTGATGATCGCTGTCGCACGGGGTCCAACGCGACCACGTGTCCCAACCGGCTAACGATTCACAGCTGGCCATCTCGCAGGTTTCCCTAACCAATCGGGGACCACTGCAGCTCTCTGGACCGAGACACTCTCTCGTTCTAGTACGTACGCCGACACCGCAGGTCGCCGAGCACTCGGACCACTCCGTCCAACACGACCATTGCCCCTCTGCCGTGTTGCCACTGCCGGGATTCACACGGCACGGATGCTGGTTGCAGACTCTACTCTGCGCAGAGAGGCCGCCTTCGCATGGTGGCGACTCGCATTGCCTCACCTGTACAAACGTAGCACATGTGCTCGTTTTCATACTTGGATATAACACAGTAGTTTTGAAAATTTGATATTTTATGTATTAATAATCTATAGTGTAATTTCAACATATTTTTTAATTTAGTTAAAGATATTATAGATCAAGCAGTAATCAATTTCACAAAATTCACTACTACGTATATATGTTACAAGACATCAATAAAACTGCGACAAATACTTACTCTATGTTGGGTACCCCGCCCGCAAGGACGATCGCATGAACCCCAAGGAGACCATTCGCCCCAGCCGCTCTCATTGATGGATTCCGCGTCTTTCCCTCTCTGACAAGACCCATCATTCCTACAATAGCGTTCCTCCTCCTTGGCGAGTTGCACTCGCACGCTTGATGGATCATCCGTCTGCGCGCGGCAACTGAATCGAAAACGCTTCTCAAGATAGCCCGTACTGCCGCTTTGCAAACTGGCGTTCACTGCCAACCAGGGAGTCCATCCAGAATATCGTCTTGTCTCAGCGCATTCATGAGTATTACATTCCTCAACCTAAAAAAATTCGCTTTCGTCAAACAATTTCTGTCTGGTTGTATCAAAAAAAATTCTATGTTAACAAAAAAAAAAAAAATATTTTTTCACGAGACATTGAAACTTGCCTGAAAATCGCATCCAAGGCATTCAACGCCACCCTTCTTCGGCGACGGATTATCGCAGGTTCTCTTTCTAATACGTATTCCTATAAAATGTGAATTGTTAATTTTACAAACGCTCATGTTATAAAATACAAACTGTGATGCTTCCATATTGTACAACACAAATATCTAAAATACGAGAAAGCTTTAATTCTTCAAGACATTTCATTAAGAATTTCTTAGATTTTTATATTGTACGGATATTATTATGCAATTATGTTATCGATGTTGCTATTAGATACTCACCGCCATTGCACGGTCGCGAACACGCGTGCCAGGGGCCCCAGGTCGACCACTGTCCGTTCTGAGGCGGCGGGGTAACTTTGGCGGGGACAGGACAAGGCGGCAGATCGATGCACACGATATCGTCGTGATCGTGACCGACGCAAACGCGCCCGCCGAACGCAGGAGCCGGATTCGTGCAGGTTCGCCGGCGAGTTTTCATCGCGAAACCGCAAGTCTGGGAGCAGGCCGACCATGCTGACCAGGCGGTCCAGCCACCGTGAATGGTGCAATTTGTTACTCTGACGCGCGCACCTGTGCAGCTCTCGCCACCGTGCTGCGGCGGAGGATTGTTGCATTCTCTGGTCTGACATTGGCACGTGTCAATCTTCTGTAAAACAGATTTTAAACGTCATTTTCACCGATAGAGAAAATACTCGTGATTAAAGATAGTACAGATATTTCGAAGTTCGATCCAGATATTTCATACGTCAATAAACTGTCAATATTCGATCTTCTTTTTAAATGAGACTAAAGATATCCTCAACGTATCTGATGAATAAATACCAACCTCCGCGTGTTCGCTGTGCGAGTGAGAGTGAGCGTGACCGTGTCCAGACGATTGTTCCCCCATGCCGTGTTGGCAGGGCGACCAAGAACTCCACGCACTCCAGCCTCCGTCGACAGGATCGGTGAGCACTGGGCACTTGGTGACTTCCTGATGCCAATGATTTGCGAGATAATTCTGTTTCGGTGCCTGCGCACATTTCATGAGATGCTCGTTCCATCCACAATACGGCTCCTGGGCATTCAGGCACGTTTGACGGCTTCGATGACGATAACACTGAACGGCAGGTACGCTAAACGGCGGAAGATATTATGATGCGGTTTAAGCGAATCATTAAAAAAGCGCATACAATGTTTATTATATACGCTAAACATAATTAACGACGAATGTCTCTGTTAGTTTTGACAGCATGATTTACAATCGATTTACGATATCTATATTTACATCAATGTGCACTTGTGTAATATCAATCACGATTTTAAAGAAAGCGAAAAGAGTCGAATTTTTAATCCTATTATTTGTAAGGAAATAATGTTCATCGTCTTACCGCAAGAGGCCAATTTCCATGCCGACGTAGAGACTCTGCGTATCCTTGAGGAATTGCATCGTCATCGGCGGCGAGGGCAAGGGTCCCCAAACCTCGACGATGCACGTTTCCTGCGTTCTCGGCAGAACGGAAATCTTCTTGATCAGCCCGGTCGCCGTGGCGACGTAGAGGACCGTCACGCTACGGTGCAGCTTGGTCGGCGTCACATCCACCGCGATGTGGGTGAATCGCTCGAGGGTCGCGGTGTGCAGCGGACCCAGCATCGTGCTCTGGACCGCCTCGTCCATCAACTGGTACCGCTGATTGTCCATGATCTGATGCGGCGCGGTGCTGGACGGGGGGCCGCAGCGTTGTCGATTATGATGCGCGATCGGTCTCCTTTCCCAGGCGGCGCCCGCGTTTTCCTGATACTTGAAAGGCCCGTTAAAACTAGCGGCGATCGCCGTCATGTTGTACGCGCAGATTGCGGAGCCTGCGATGCCGTTACTGCGGCGGGAGAAAAGAAGAAAAAAAAGAATTCCATTAAAGTCGGTCGTTTCACCGGAGAAGAAATTGCAGCTTCCATGTCCGAAAAACATTCTATTGTTATCAAGCATAAAGAGCGAAATATGAAGTAAATGATCAGCTTCAAATATTTAAAAAAATTGTAAACATTCATTGGCGTAAATTTCTACATGCGAATTCTGGAAATGTAACAAACCGCATGGATAACAAATAAAACTGTTGATTTTCAACTCATATTAATCCGTAAGATCATATTAAATAACTAAATTTTAATTATTCGGTTAAAATTAATTAAGATTGTGTTAAATCTGCAGTTCATAATGAATGTAATGCTGACTAAATTTAATCTACAACTTGCGCCAAATACAAAATAAAATTGGTTCGCGGAATCGCATAATCAATTTGTCATTTACCGTCTCTTGCATCTCCCTGGAGTTTGTGCACAGACATAAACACAGATGACAATTAATGCGCCTGCGTATTAATCGCATCGCTGAGCGATACTTACATAGGAGTTGTGAAGGTCGCATAAATGACTCCCTCTTCCGGATGATAAGCCGCGCCTTGGATCTCATCGTAATAGAATGGAAATTCGCCGGGAAGAGAGCAATTCAAACGGGCTTTACTAAAGGTCGTCCATACGTCCTTCATCATAATCTGTCCGCCTCGATCATTCTTGCAAACTCTCGCTATCCTCGAATATATTTTCTGCAATCGTACACCGCAATGTACTATCAGTAAACTTCGTTTTTTGACAAGGTTCAATGCATTATCATTTGATAACGATCTATTTAATGAAAGAGTAAAAGTTCGAAAGAGTCTAACAAAGATTTAGTAAAATTTTTAGCGATATCTTAAACGTCTTTCACACTTTTGCGTTACTCGAGTAGTGTTTAACAAATTAATCTAATCATGTTGAAGCGGAGTTTAATCTCGCGCTTGTGCGATTACGATCAAGATACAATCGCGCGAGCGGATGCGGAATATTTTATTAAAGCTATCCCCTAGGCGGCAATTTGAGCGGCGATAGGTTGAGAAAATGATAAACATCGCGCGAACTAAAATCACGATTGCCGGAGATAATATTTTTCTGCCGCATGAGAGGAAAATCCGCGACGCGACGCTCGTTCCGACAAACACCGTAAGCGGCTAATTATATACGCCTGACGCAAGTCAGAGGAGACGAGATCGCTAATCGTGCGCGAGAAGCGGCTCCTCGCGTGTCTTAGAATGATGGAAAACACGTCATGCCGGATTTGCTCTCTGTACGGAATCGATCTTACCTTGCCACAGTTGATGTACTCCACGGCGGATTCGCGAAATAGAAAGTACACGTGATCCTCCGTCTCGAAGCTGCCGACGAACTGCGGGTCATTCAGCCACCTAAAAGGAAAGCGCGAGCTTAAGAGAAACCATGATCCTCCGGCACGATAAATAAGACGAAACAATCTTGCGACATAGTATATAATTTGGTCTCTCATTTATTTTTTAACGATCTTGGTGGAATATTTATGAAAATTAAGACACACAATGTAAATGACAGATTTATATGACACAATTCGTAACGAGCATCAAGATGTAGTGTATTTCTTTTTATATAAAACCTACTTGGAATCGTATTGTCGTGTCCTGAGGTTCGGTGACGCCAGCGTTCTGTAGATCGCAGGATCAGCTCCGGAGAAGTCGGTCGACGCGCCGGCGAAGAGGCCGCCGGAAGGACCTCTCGAGAGAAGCGCCGTGACATTTGCATGCGGTGAATACGGACACATGGCCACGCCCGACATCTCGCTGGTCACGCTCGTTATATTCTCGATCTGCGATCATAATTGCTACCGTATAGTAACTACGCCCGCAACATCCGTTACGAGATCCGTATCGAGCATAATGTCGAGCCTAATGACGGTAATCTGATTTTATTGACATCGTCCGATGGACAGCCGCGACGATTCGCGACGCAAGCAACGAGGGGGAAAAAAAATAACATAGAGCTCGTTATATTACGGACGAGATGCCATTCGTCTGAATCCGATCGGACGGATTCCTTTCGAGGACGTACCTCTCGCCACGCGCACCACGGACTGAAGGCGTAAGTGCCGCAGGTGAAGAGGCTCTTGCCGTTGCTGAGGAGCACCTTGACGTAATTATGACAATCCTCGACGCTCTGGCCCTTATTCTGACAGGTGTTGACCTTGTCCTCCGGCGCGGACCACGTGGCCTGCTCCAAGTCCGTAAGCGACGTCAGCGTCAAGCGGTACAAATTATCTCTGAAAAGACACACTTTATTTACATCTCCATCATCGCGTGCTCTCCGCGTGTCGTTAAGCGCGTTTCATACGCAAAGGCAGACGCTATTAACCCATTAAAAGCCCACTGACGTCGCCGTGAATGTCTCCGCTTGTCACTTTTGCGACATTTTTCTTAGCAACATCCGTCAAAATCGTGTAGCGGACACTTGTCAGACGACATTTTTTACGATTGAACATAATAAATCAATTTTTATATAGAATCGGAAATGCAGGTTCTCGAAAAAAAAAAAGATCATAAGCCTTAATAGAAATATATCCATATATCCATAAAAGGCTTCCGTGGCCTGGACTCAATTTTCGCAACCTTAGATGGATTTCATTAAAACGTTACTAGATCGTCTCATTGAAAATCACGTAGCGGCCGATAATGAGGAATGCTATTGGCAATACATCACGATGCGTATCTCAATTTTAAATCGAAGAAGAATAGCTGTGGCGAGTGACAGTGACGACGGCGGCGATTTCCCTCGTAGAAGCGACGCACATCATCGTATTCAATGGATGATCAGCTCGCCGCAGAATAACGCTGGCCTCTCTCCGAGAGATATCTATGCGCGAGGTTCGCTTCGCGATTCCCAATGCCGACTATATTCATGAAATCCTCAAGCGATGGCACGCTTGATTGCGCCACTCCAATTATATTCGCTAATAAATACGTATCGCGCGCATCGTATTCCGCATCTAAATGAGTGCATTTACAAGCAATATCGGTGCTCGCGATATTGCTTATCACAGTAACACGATTCGTGAGAGAAAAATTTCTAATCCTTTACTCCCTTAAATGCATCGCGGTATTTTTCGATATCGATCGATATAGATAGATTTTAATATTATAAACAATCAAGACACAAGCAATTAGATTAACGAAATAAATGAAAAATTATTTCTTTCAGTCTAGCTTTTATCACTTGGATATTTGCGGAGTAGAAAGTTGTATAGATATATATCATACTAATGTTACTTGTCTTTCAAATAAACTTAACGTTAAATCTTTAAAATCTAGAAATTCAATAGCATAATTCTTTATATGTTAAATTCGATTTCTTCACATTCCCTCTTCCTCTTTTTTGTTTAATATAAAATATAAAATATCTTTATAAACATTTAAGATTTTTATAAATACATTTAAAACAAAAAAAAAAAAAAAGCAGGGTTAATGATTTATAGGAGTAGAGGTCCAAGACATCCTTTACAGAGAGCTGAGAGAGAAAGGTGCATTTCATGCAAAAGATGTGCGCGACTACCTTACGCGGAATGCAACCGTTCACGAAAGGTGAGGTGACGTGGAGGTGAGATGCTCGGTAGATAAAAAAAGAGATGTCGGAGGAGCGCTTCGTTCTCTGTGTATTCACTTCGCGGGGTGTTACACAGCGGCTTGCGGCCGATCTCGTCAAAGTACTCGCATGAGACACTCGTGGCAGTCACGGAGGCGTACTCGGGTTTGACAGCGACTTCGAGGAGCCCTCGAAAACTCCTCGGACGACATTCCACGGCAGCCCACTTGACTCAGATGCGACTCATATACTCATACGCATACGTTCGCGAGTGCGTACGCCGGTGCTTCTCCGTCGAGTACGCCAGATCGAGAGATCGCTCGACGAGCACGGTTCGTGTAATCGATAGATTAAACTTTTCTTACGTAAAATCGGATTCAATCCAATCGGAAAGCTTTGGATAAATTTCGTTGGAATACTTTTTTCCTTCAAAGTTTTCTTGAAGAATTTTTTTTTATACGTAAAATACTATTGTATTTAAAAATTAATTTATTCACAAATACTTAAAAATCCGAGTTACATTAAAAAAAAAAAAAAAAAAATTACTAAGCTTTATCAACATGATGCAATTTTTATTTAGCGCGCGTATATGTATATGTAAAGTAGCAAACCCGGAAGACAACGGCAGTGTCGATCGCCTCGAGCAAACCTCGTTAAATAAATTATTATCGATTTATAAACGACCGCAAAGATGTGGTTCATGCGGAATTGTCCGCCTATCTCTTTTCGAAGCGAGGAGAACAACGACAGGATCGCAACAGAAAGTATAGCGTAAATTACCGATGGATATAACTCGATATTCGCCCGTATTCTTGTAACTAAGTAACTACTCTGTCTTTTTCTCTGCTTCGATGACGATCGCGACTTATGTAAATGAAAGTAGCACGCGATCAGACGGCAATTCTATTTGCTGGCTCATAAAGGAAAAAAATAAACATTCAAAATCGAAAAGAATTGTCATCGCGTGTAAACGGTATCTAAAATATTAAAGATTGATTTCGGATAATTTTATGGAAAGTATCATTAAAATTAAAATAAGAAACTTTCAAACTTTGTATATATTAATTTCTCCCACTGACAATTGTAATATAATTTAATTAGAAGTTATATATCTTGGTGAATTATATTGATATTAATTTATTTGATAGATAAAAGTTCGGCTATACAGATATATAAAATCGCCCTCGCCTCCAACAATCTTTCCAACATTGCAATTTGCAATCCTCGTTCCTCAAAGGACACCGCTTTCGCACACATATATCATCAATCGGAAATACAAATGCTCGAGCATTTCTTCATTGGACATATCGATAATTACGCACTCAATATTCAGCACAGACCTTTTGTCAAATCGATGAACTTAATTTATTCATGATTATCGCGTCGCAACTTGCAATCTATCGCGCCTTAGCTCCGACATACATGCATAACACTCGTCCGTCGTGTTGCATTTTGTTCGATGCTCCGGGTCACGTTTCGCGCCATTCATTATACTTCTCTATCAATCCCATTCAACCGCTTGATCAATATTCTCGATCCGAGACCCCGCGAGATGCTTTAATACAGAGTGCCCCGGCACTTTCTTTCACCCAGAGATTCCCCGATAATGTAATTTAACAACGATACGCTTATCAGTATCCAATATTTCAATATTTCTTGCGCAATAAATATTAAAATTAAAATATCAAAATTTCTCACTCGAAATCAAGAGTAGAGAAAACAGTTATTATCTAATTGTGTAGTCATTTAGAAATCTTGATTTCTGAAAGTCCCAAATCTTCGATAACACTTTTAACCTCGCATATTTCCCCGCAAAGCACGGAGAACACTCTGTATAATGATTCGTATTCCGTGAAACCTTTTCTCTTCTCGCACCGGCTGTTCGAGAGCGACCCGGGAACCCGCAACGAAGCATAAACGGCGCCTACGTGGGCGCCCGCGTCGCGGCACCGCGTGATACTTGGAGCAGGTAATTATTATTTAAGTGGAGTACAAGCGCGGGCTGGGCGACGGTTGTGCATGCCAATTAATAAGCCGGCACCGTCGCTCTATCTATGTATATCTCGGCAACCTACGTGAGAGGCAAAATCGCGTAATACTCGTGGACCAGGGCACTCCCGCCGAAGGGATATCGCTGTTTCTCGTTCGCGTCTTTGGCGACACCACAAGGCCGTCTCGTCGGGCGCGGCACGAGAGTGAATTATGTCGCGCGGAAAAGAAGCCGGAGTCTATTTCCAAGTCGAACGAGGGGGATTGCATATCGCGTTGTTCCGCATGGAACAAAGTTAAATGTCCACGAATATAAAATCGCGGTCTTTGGGTCGTAGATGCAGTTAGTATTCTCAATAATCGATTTTTCCGCTGGACGCGCGACAAGTGCTTTCTTTTTGTTATTGTTCAAGTGCCAGAGAAGAGCAGTATCACTTTCTCATCCCACGCATTCGCGTAATTCTCGAATTGATCCTTTTATAAAAGAAATCTCTTCAATGAAATTTTCTTTAGCACTTAACAGTTGCGACTTTTTTTCTTTTATCGAAAATATACGGTAGACTGCAATCAATTTTGTATTACACTGCTATATCACGTACAACGGGATTCGCGCGGACCCAATTTTATGGTAACGGTGCGGTTGGATATCGCATCGAGTTTTACGGGCGTCAATCAACGTCTCTCATATTTTCTTGTTAGAACATGGGATCCCGCGTGCGAAGTAGGCGGGTAGTAAAGCGAAACCGATGTTACTGTCGCCGTATGACACGTTGAGACACCTCGATCGCGAGAACGTAAACGAGATACAAGTCGGTATTGTCATACGCATCGTTTATTCCGAGTGGCACACGACTGGTTTCGCAATATGAATGTATTTAAATAGGATGCAGGTACATATATATATAAATATAAATATTCTCATATATCTACCTCGACAAGATCGGCAAAGCTCTCGACTTATACCACTTTCAAGATAAATGACTCGTATATCAACTGACGTGTGAAATATAATGATGATATATATATAATATAAAAAACGTGATGTATAAATCATCTTTTCCCCATCAAAAAGAAAAGTAACGGAAATAAATAAGAATAATTAAAATAATGTAAAATTAAGTTCCTTCATATCTTTTCTCTGACACTAAAAAAACGAGATATCGCAGAAACTTATATTACGCTAAAACAATTACGTCAAATTTTATTCAAAATCTTCTAAACATTTTTTCGTCTATAGAAATGTGGCTCTGTTTTTTTATTTAAATTTCTCGTAGTTTGATACCTCCCGTTCACAATCTCTCAAAAGAGTTTTGTTATCGTTCTAATCCCATGGATAAGCCTAAGTGAGTCGTGAATGTAAGTAGGTAGGTACGCTCCGTATGTTGTTTATTGGCCGAGTGGCCACATTGAAACAGATTACTTCCTGCTCAGTGGACAAATACCTCTTCGACCCCCCTCCTCTCGTCGCGTGGACGAGAGCGACGATGATCGTGCCATTGTGCCGTCTGTGCGCGACCGTAATTCGCGCCTTGAGAAAATTATGAGACGAGGGAGGGAAAGGGGATAGTTCGAGTTGTTTCATAATAATCGACTCATTATGCGACGCGACAACCACGAGGATGGACATGCGCGATGGCTCCTGCGACGATTAACTTTGCGAACACGGTTACCCGATCGATTTTCCATGTGCCCTCG